CCAACTTCCCATCCCCCAGGTCACGCCCTCCCAGAGCCCCCACAGCCCTAGGCTCCCCCAGGACCTACCCCCGCACCCCTCCGCCAGGCTCAGGCCCCGTTTCCCATAAACTCACCCCTGCTGGCCAGCTGGCTTTCTCTGAGACTGGTGCTCCGGCTGTTCTGCTGAATAACCACCTGGTAATTAGCTCCACGATTTTGCTACGATGCTTATAATCGCCTCCATTAAAGTTATGGGATTTTCAGGCCGTAATGGCTTCCAGAGTAATTAATGCACAACTGGGTTTATTGCTAAGTTTATTTTTAGAGTTTCCCTCCCTCATCCCCCCTCCCTTTCCTTGCATAGATGTCTTCACCAGAACAGCCCCCTGCATCCTTGCCTCCCCCTGTCTCCCTCCCCCCTTCTGGAAGGTGCTGGGACAGCAGCAGGGGCGGCTTTCCTAGGGGAGGGTGGCTCTGTGCCAGGGCTCAACCCATCTACGCCTGATCAGGTTTGGGGGTTCAGGGGCCTGGACGCTGCCTCCCCCATGCCCCTGGTTACAGGAGACCGAAGGGCCTGGGTTTACGTCTGCCTGCACCATGTCCTGGCGTTGGCCTTGGGCAAGCCACTGGGGCATTTCCCACGTGAAATAGCGGTAAGGACAGCGCGGAGCACCCGGGGTTGTTGTGATGCTGAACATGAACTGCCCAGCGTCACCTTCGGACACCATAGGTGCTATCTCACAGCTGTTGTTACTAACAACAGCCCAGCAGACGAGCGGGAGGTTGAGCGAGTGCCAGAGGTAGAGGCGTGGAATGAAGAGGCTGCCCAGAGGAAGTGTGCCGGGCGGCGATGTGTGTGCCACAGAAGCTGGGCGTGCACGCCGAATTCGCCGAATTGCACACAGCTCGCCTTGCCTGGCTTTCTCCACCCAGAACTTAGGGCCCTCCCCAAGATAAAGGGCATTTGAAAAAGCTCCATTGGAGCCACGGAGGACCCAGAGTCAATCTCCCAGCCAGGCCTTTTAGAAACTCCCTTGCCGTCCATCAAATGGCCTGAGCTCAGCCAGCCAAACGGAGACCTTGATCAGCCCATTCAGTGGTCTTGGAGTTGGGGACTGGGGCTAGGGGTGTGGCATAAGTTCACTCCACTTCATTACACCCCAGGGCTGCCTCCTTTATCCAGGCTCTGAAGAAACCATCCGGGCCCAAACATGTGGCCAGCACCGTTGCAGATTCAGTATATACACGCCAAGCGCTGTCCTCAGGGCTCTAGGGGCGCTGACTTGTTTAATTCTCAGAACCACCTTGTAAAGCACGTGCTGATGGTACCCATTTCACAGATGAGAAAACTGTGGCACGGACTGTTGCCATGACTTGGCAAAGGAACAACAGCTTGTTGGTGGCAGAGTTCAGTGTTTAAACAAATGCAGGTGTGCCTGAGGTCTGTGCCCTTAACCTCTGCTCCCTGCTGAGCAGCCGGGAGAAGGCAGTCCGGGCTCCAAGCGGCAAGCCAGGGCCGGGCCTGGCCCTCCTGGATGCCGTCCCCGCCCAGGTCTCTGGCCATCCTCTTCTGCTCTCTCTTGCAGGTATGCACTTGGCAGGGTTCCTGACTGTGCCCTGAGCCGCCACCCCTTCTGAAACTCTGGCCGAGCTGGACTCTGCAAACCTGCTTTCGCAATGGGTGGGTTGTGAGCGCTGGTAAGACCCGCTAGCCAGCATCGGCTTCTCTGCCGTCCCCGTGCCTGGCCTGTCCGGCCCATTCCTGTTCTCTTCTCCCCTGTGCTCATCCCTGCGCGCTGCCCCCGCCCCTGGCGCCGTCATCTGTCATCTCCGGACCTTGCCGCCGCTCAGGTAATGAGGAGCTGTGGGCCCAGCCAGCCTTGGAGATGCCGAAGAGACGGGACATCCTTGCCATCATCCTCATCGTGCTGCCCTGGACGCTGCTCGTCACCGTGTGGCACCAGAGCACCATCGCGCCCCTGCTCACCGCGCACAAGGG